ACATGGATGCTCCTGGAGAATGTCATTCTAAGTGAAGTAAGCCAGAAAGAGAAAGAAAAATACCATATGAGATCGCTCATATGTGGAATCTAAAACAAACAAACAAAAAACCCAAAACATAAATACAAAACAGAAATAGACTCATAGACATAGAATACAAACTTGCAGTTGCCAAGGGGGCGGGGGTGGGAAGGGACAGACTGGGATTTCAAAATGTAGAACAGATACACCAGATTATACTGTATAGCACAGGGAAATATATACAAGATCTTGTAGTAGCTCACAGAGAAAAAAATGTGACAATGAATATATATATGTTCATGTATAACTGAAAAATTGTGCTCTACACTGGAATTTGACACAACAGTGTAAAATGACTACAACTCAATTAAAATAATGTTAAAAAAAGAAATCTTTGATCCTTCTACTCAAGATGCAGAGTTAGAAAAGACTAAGGGTACATATTCTTAACATTATACTTTGAAACTTTGATTTCTTATCTTCAAAGAAGCATTGCTATCTGTGCAGGATACTCTGGGACATATGATTCAGGCGGTAGGATGTGGTCAAAAGAATCTGAGATATTCACTCTAGCCTTAAATGATTACCCTACAGCCTGACTGATGTGAGGTTACCTAATCCCCTGGGGCCTCAGTTTCCTCATCTGTAATCATCTGTAACATGGTTAGTCTGGAATAGTTCTGTCCAGTGCCATTCAGCTCTAAGACTCCATAATTAAGGTTTTTGAAAGTAAACGACATTTCAAAATCTCTTTGCAAGTTAGTTAGGATTTTGTGTTAACCTCCATATACATTATTTCTGTGTGCACAAAGTATCCCCAATCCCAAATAACCAACTTAAAAAGATAGTGTTAACCTAATATATTTATATGGTAAACTTGTACTTAAAAGCATTTTTTGGAAAACCTTATTAAATTTATAATCATTTCATCCACCAGATGTCACTGTCTGCCACGATTTGTTTTAAATTGGCGCGCTTGCTTTCTCCCTAGAGTTTTATGGAAGCACGCCCCACATTCAGTAGAGTTAAGCATGTTGAGAACTAAATCCTTTATGACAATTTCTGTACAATTAGTGTATGTCAAAGTTAAAAATACATATTTCATGACCGTCTGTTCTGAAAAAAGTGCTCTTAACCTTATCTACTGATTTTTAATGTAAAATGTTTCTGATATATAATTTTATGAAAGAATCATGGGAAAAGAATCATGTCAAACACAGAATATTTAAGAGGGTGAAAATAATTCTTGTAGAAACACACTGTCTTCAAGGAAAATCAGAAGGCATGTTTGTTGTACCTTGCAATGGGTCTAAAATGACAAGGCAGAAGGTTTTGGCCTAATGCAGAATGCTCTTTGCAGTAGAGTTTGCTGTCACCGTGGTACACAGAAGGCACCTGCCATTTCTATATATTTATATAAGACTGATGGTGCTGCAGACTTGGCTTTTCCCAAAGCTTTTATGCGATGCCTGTGCCTTGGTATAGGAGGATTTTCTCATCACCTGTGCCTTATTAACAACACCGGAACTCAGTTGCACCATCCCTTCTGGTTGAGGAACCTGAATGACAGTGCTGCAACCTCGTTGGAATCGTTCATGTCGCCTGTCACCGCAGAGGGGAACCTGTGAACATCACTGTATGACAAT